GAAGACCGCCACGTCTTCTCCACCGTGCGTCTCCCGACTTATCGGTACTAAAGCCGGATACGTGTAGTTGACGTCACCTGTAACGAATTCATTGTTATTCAAATTCAAATTATTTATTTGTGGAACATAGGTACAGATACGATGTAATTACAATGTTAGGATCGCTATGTTTAACCTTATAGGCGTACAAATTTAATTATATTAATAAGGAATACAATATTATTATTTTATAGAATGTTACAAAAATTAAATTATAAATACAGTCAAATATAGAATATCATAAACAAATCGGACACCTTATGTAACGGAATTTCTAATAATTACTATTTGGTTATTTCCTCTGTTAAAAATTCACCAGTGGAATAGTACGCTTTTTTAACCATAAAGTCTGTAAGCATTATTTTGAATTTGTGTATGTCAGTCTCAGTTCTAACAGCCTTGGGTATCGTATTATAAATTTTTGGATATATTTATTTTTTATAGAAAGTAGATCATGCAATTGGGTGATTTGTTGAAGTTATGTCATCACGTGTTGGGTTTTTGAGGAAATTTTCATTTGAAGTATAAGAACCAGAGCTATGTTATTGGTTCCGTTACTTATAACATCGATAGGCAAGCAAATAGTTCGTGATCAAAAAAGGATTCAAATTAAAGATTTGCGAATTTCTCAGTGATGATTTGATTTCTGTTTGTGTTTCAATTGTTTTTTATTATTATTATAATTATACTTGAACACACTAGCAGCTTAGAAAGCTGATGCGTGCGTATTAATGGATTTGGAGATTTTGTCGAGTCTGTTTTTAAAAGAATTAACTGTGGGTGCTTTTATCACATTTTCTGGGAGTTTATTCCATTTCGTGACCACCCTATTAGGTAGGAAGTGTGTCAAGGGATTCAGTTTGTTACTCTTTATTTCTTGAAATGAGATATATCCAGTTAAAAGGGGATGTTGATATTAAAACTGACTTTTTTAAACTTCGAGTACTAGTTATTAATAGTATGTTCTTAATAAGATTCAACTTACTGAAGTTATCTTTACCAACATCGTACCGCTGGAACCTCCCTGGCTCCTTGTACCCTGGTCCATTGGCATAATTCAGGGTAGTATATGGTAAATTGTCAGATGCATTATTCTGTAAAACACAAAGATGTTTTTTTATTTATTTATTTAAGGAACTTTTAAAAAATCGTTATACCAGTTCCATCGTAACCTTACACTAAAAGCATCACAATTACAAAAATACTAGTGAGTAAACTAACATTGCTTCTGACGACATTGGTTTGCTTAAAATAGTATTAAATATACCTAACACTCGGTTTCTGAAAGGCTAACAACGCTGAAATTAACTAATCTCCTGTTTATTCTCTTGTCAAATCATCTGATTGGTTGTTGATAATTCAGTCAACCAATCAGATGACTTGACAAGAGATTAAAATGATTTTAGCATTGATCGGCCTTTCGGAAACCGGATGTAAACCTAGCGTATTTATATTTAATTCACTAATTAACGACCTTCTTTCAGACTCAGTCCTGGCACACTCCAGTAAAAGGTGATCGACATCTTCTACTTTATTGTCACAAGCTAAGCAATTTGAATAGTCCACTGTTTTCATTAAAAATGCAAAGGATCTTAAAGGCGGAACGAATTCTGAAAGAAGTTACCAATATTTTCCTACTAACTTTAAAACTACTAAACCATGAGGCTCGAGGAGGTTCATATTGTATTGTTTTATACCAAATTCCTTTGAATGAAAAATGAAAGATTCACAAAGATTTATTATCTGCCTAGTTATTTCATTGTTTAAATAAGTAAACTCACTATAGAATTAGTCACAATGTTATTTGCCGGGTTTGCAACCAGATCCTCCAGGTTATGAAGCACGCGCTTTAAATACCACACCACCATAACAGTTTGCTCTTTCATCGTCATCAGCCTATAAGAGCCCACTGCTGAGCAAGGCCTCTTCTCATACGGAGAAGGTTAGAGCATTAATCACCACGCTTGCCCAATGCGAGTTTGTGATTTCAAACTTATAATTAGAAATTATAAGTCCAGGTTTCCTCACGATGTTTACCTTCACCGTATGTCAATGCGGTCTAAATAATCATAGAAAGTACATATAACTCGAAAACAGTCACATTGGTTCTCATGCATAAGAAGCGGGCTCCTTTACTCCGGGCCACCACGACATTTTTTTACTCTTTCAGTACGCTAATATATGATGTATAATGTAAAATAAACAAAATAAGTAAAGTAAATACGTTTACCTTATTAACTAATCCTAAAATGTCAGTTCCTCTTTTACTATATCCACTGTACGTCATAGTATGGCTGTGGTCAGAAGTTACTACGATTAATGTCTCCTGCAAGTCCACTAATCTCAAAGCCGCTTCAACCGCTTTAGCAAATTCAGCGGTCTCATCTAGCGCTTTACGTGCTTTGGTCTCGTGGTGAGCTGTGTCTATTCTTCCTCCTGTAAACATGATTTAATTAAAAAAAGTTGAATAAATAAATCAGAACTGTTGTGTTTTGTAATTTGGATTAGTAGCAACAATAAATCTCTACCCTTAATATTACAAAAAGACTCATAATTTATTATGTGTGCCACGCTTTGGCACGAATGCATGCACGCAGAAAATCGGCGTGAAGCAACCACAGTGTTGTATTTCGCCGTGTGACGCAAGTTACCGGAGGCCCATTACTTCCCCTCCACTTTTTACATTCCTAAATCGATTCATTAATCACTCAGTATTTTTTCTGCATTCCACGCTTTAGAAGCTACTTACCTTCAACGAAGAGGAAAAACCCATTTTTCTTCTTTTTTAACATCTGTATAGCTTTTTGAGTCATTTCAGTAAGAGTTGGGTCATCGTCACCAGCTTCCAAATGGTACGGCATATGGTCAGGGGAAAACAGGCCAAGGACACTATGATAGAGGGAATCATCTAAGTTCAATAGTCCCTGCTTATTATAAACAAATCTAGGAAATACTCCTTGAGCCTCTTTTTGTTTTTTCCATTCTCTTATGAGGTCTACTCCATCACTTCTATAACCATAGTAGCCTTCATGATCAGTTTGACCTCTGGGGAAGAAGTTTCTGCGCCCGCCTCCTAAAATGACCTGGAAGACGGATTTTGTTTTATGGTACAGACAGTATAAAAATTTGGAACCAGTAAAAACATTCTATATGGATAATGCTGAGTAGTTGATGATAAGTTTTTTCTTGTGAAATTCAAACTTATGTTTAAATAAAACTCAGGATAATGAGCAGGAATATCGTATTAAACAAAGCAGTTGTCAGAGTTAGTTGACTATTTCCTGTACCTAAAATTTTACAAATAAACATTCTCTACACGACAATGAAATAACACATGAGCTCTTTTTGGGTCTAATTGATTGGAAAAGCATTTTCAATTATGAGGGTGGGATGGTCCTGTTTTTAGTCAGTAAGAGTCTGGCACCCCCACTCGCACTGTTCACTAGGCGGCTAAAGCGCGCCTAGTGAACATTTTATAAAAAAATAGCATTACACGCACTCTTCTGCCAACAGGCTTTTACTTACATCGATCTTACTGCCAACACGTCCCTTCACCATCTGAGTGGCTATATCCTCACAACGAAGTCCTTTCTTCGGCATATCAGTATCAGCTTCCCACCTCCTGTCTGCTGAATGAGCGTATGACGCCGCAGGAGTAGCATGTGTTACTCTTGTGGTGGTCACAATGCCTGGAAAAAATTGCGAATAAAGCTGCTTAAAGCGTCTTCATTATATTTGAATAGGGCTTCTAATTTTGAACTGCGCAAGTATTTACTTTTCATTGTACAGACACTCTATTATGTTTTACCCAATTAATATTCCAATCTAGGAAACTACAATATAAAAAATAAGTCTAATTTCAATTATGGTTTTGGCACATCGATTCTTTCTTCAAAAATCATAATTTCGAGCCAACTTACATGACCAGAACCGATAATGAGTTCTTTCCACTCTGTGTTTTCTGTCGGACCCTGTGTTCCCCGAAGGGTGCTTATATCCTGAGAGTCATCATAAGTTGCATCATGCTTACCATCAGGTGTGATAGTGGTCAAATGCCTGCCCATTACGACACAACAAAATACTTACCGGTTCCTTTCCCAGCTTTTTGTGCCCAGTCCATAAGTCCAGTAACAGAATGCAGACCATCCCTCTGGCCCTTACAATCCCCTCGTTTCACGGCCGCACTAAGCCCAACAGTCCCACTGTTAGCCTTTACACCGGATAGGTAGGCAGTACCACTACACGCAGAATCTGCGACGTTATTATCTACGCAGTAAGTCTGAAAATGGATTAAGCATAAGACCTACATAAAACATTAAGCAGTTTTAGTCTTTAAAGTGATTTCAATCTTTTAAACTTGGCACTGGAATTCTTTGCCGGAGTCTGTGTCCCCCAAAGGTATAACCGATCGTTGACTGCCCTGTGGTCTCAGACCGGCTAGACTCTTTGGCACTGCGTAGGGATGTAGCCTCGCTATGTATTCTATATCGCCTTTATCACGGGGAGTGTTCTGAGGAATTGTTCGGTTTGATCCCCGCCGCATCTTTTTGCTATCGTTCCACGCGAAAACATGTTCATCCCCATCACATAGATGGTTGACAGTCAACAACTGTGCGATTCTCGCGTAACTTTCTGCCCCGACAGCAAAGCTTTGGAATGATCTTCCGGCGCCGGTATTCCCGAACCGATACGACCTTCAAACCTTCAAGAAACGAGCGTACTCCTTCTTAAAAGGCTGGCAACTCACCTGTGACTCCTCTGGTGTCCATGTGCGGCGCCGATCGCTTACCATCAGGTGATCCGTCTGCTCGTTTGCCTCCTATTCCATAAAAAAAATAACCTGGGTGTCTTCAAGGCCTAGGTGAATAGGTTGCTTATGGGTAGGCATGCTCTATCGTAGATCGCATTATCGTTTATCACCAGGCGCGATAGCGGCCAAATGTCTGCCCATTGCGAAAAAATTAACATACCTTAGATAGGCCAGTATAAGGAAAAGCTTCGAAGCTCAGCTTGAGTTCTTCACCCAGATGTCCGTACTTCTGGCCCAGGTATACTCTGGTAGCAGCCAGGGTGGTGATGCTCATCCCATCTCCGAGGAACAGGATCACGTTCTTTGCTACTTTCGTGTTCAGGGAATTGGATAACTGGAACGATTAAGGTAAGGTATAAGTTATAAGGTGAGACAATGTGTCAGGGACAACTCAAATTATTAATCTGTCTCAGTTTAATATGTAAATGTGATTGCATCTGCATTAAATGTATACAAAATGTATTATTAGTGAATTGTAAAACAAATAATATTTTTTAAAAAGAATAACGATGGAGTTTCTTTCTCGTTCTTCTCCATTCGAAACTACAATTTGGAACGAGCACCTAGCTTCCCTGACGAACAGACTGACCGACTACTATTCTATTTTGACGTTTCAAAAGTAACTATTTAAACCATAATTGGAATAAATGAGTTTGATTTGATTTGATTTGAACGTAATAGACTTAATACTCCTTGTATGAAAGTGGTTTGGGAGAGCTATGCGATGAATAGGGGTGATACGGGCCGGAACACGTCTTCACAAAAAACTAGCGTGAAACAACGCTTGCTTAATACTTTAGTAGGTATGTGGGAGGGATTACTAGCGCCCAACAAGTCGCCAATGCAAAACGTTTGGTGTTGTAGATGTTAATGGGTGACCCCAATTGCTTACCATCAGGTGTTTCGGCTGCTCGTTTATCTCATTGTCCCATACTAAAAATATCTCGAATTTAAGAGTGTTGCATGTAAACCAAACAAATCATTTCACTTTAATTTTCTTTTAAATAAACATAGTCTATAGGTGCGTATCTTTCTCTTCTCATCCCTTATAGAAATAGTTAGATGCGTATTTCACTGAAATGTGAAATGACCTTTATGTTTTCTCTAAATAAATTTAATCACAGTTGTATTTGTTAAGATTTAATGTGTACTTCGATTGCCTACGTTTTTGCTTCGGACGGCTTTAAACTGATTATCAAACTGTATTTAATAAAGAGACCTTTTTAAGGTCTAGGTCTAGCTGGGACAACCCAAATGTCTGTAATGAACTTTGAATAGCCTAACAAGGTATTAAGTATTGTTCAAAATTCTAACCGCTCATAACTAAATTGAAACTTTAATACTTTGCTACAAGTATTAAAATTTCACTTTACAATACGCAAAACACAATTATTTTTATATAGAAATAAATGGAAATAACCCATAAATGACAGGATATTTTGGTAATTCTTTTTCGAAGTCTGTGTTCCCCGAAGGATAAAACCTGGGTGCCTTCAAGGCCGGAGTAAATAGTTTGCTTATGGGTAAGCGTGCTCCATCGTAGGTGGCATCATTGCTTACGACCAGGCGTGATAGTGGTCAAAAAATACTAGCTATTTAGAAAAAAAATTGACAAAACAATGTCACAATGTCACCGCTCCGTATACATTAATGCACTAAATCGTGACGTCACACGATATTTCTAATCAATATGGTGAAAAGTATTTTATTCCTATAGAAAAAATACGTGTTTTTTGTTTTAAATTCGGTTTCATCATCATCATCATCAGCCAGATTCCGTCGACAGCTTGGACGTGGGTCTTCCCAATTACGCGCCACTGAGCTCGATATTAGCTCTTTTCACCAAACCACTGCCAGCCACAAGAGTCGGTTTAAAGGTACATATTTGCATGATGTGATCTCTTATTATGATGACGAAATAGGAGAAGTACAATTTTGTGATAAATTACCATTTACATGGTGTATGTAACATGTTATATTCTATGTTGGCAAATTTTCATTAAATAAAATAAATTAATACATGACACGGATATTGCAAATTATTGTCATTATCATTCATTTAGGGAATTCAATAAATAATAATTCCGTTTCATACCTAAAATACATTTATTCCTCAAAATCAACCTGCGTCACAAGTCATACTTCATTTGCTTTTATATCATTCGTTCCATTTTGATGACGATATTAATTAATTATTTATTGTCGAGTACCGTGTGCATTATGAGATTTCAAGCTACTTAAATTCTGCTCATACTTTACTAAATCCCAGAATCAGAGTTGTAATCACAGACTTATTGCATATGCCGGGGCTGCGGAGTAAGCGCAATGAGGCACGACCTCGGCCCAGAGCAGGAGAACGAAAGGGGGAGTTGTTAGTTGTAGTTATTGTAAGAGTCTAACACTCCTCCTCTTTAGAAGTTACTTGATGATTTTACCCTCACAAAAAAAAAACTTATTACAATTATTGATACATCACTACCAAGTATAAAACAAATTCACTTTTTCTGCAACTTAATACCTATGTAACGCATTTCGATACGGTTTTTTTAATAGGTAGGATCATATGTATATAGGTATTATCATCCATTAAGTAGCGAAGTTATTTAGTATCAGCATTGTACTAGGTAGTATTTATAACTAGAATAAATATAAATTTAAATGTGCGTGCTCGGCAGGAGTTATGCCACAGCTTCATAGAAAGCTAGTGTGAAACAATGCTTGCTTTGTGTTAGCCGTATGATTAAGATTACGCAAACCAATTTCTACATCAATCTAATTCCATATCAATCACCCTACCACTTCATCATCATCATCAGCCTATAAATGCCCACTGCTGAGCAAACCTTCTCACACGCGGAAGGTTTGAGCATTAATCACCGCGCTTGCTCAATGCGGGTTGGCGATTTCAAACTTACAATTAGAAATTATGAGTCCAGGTTTCCTCACGATGTTTACTTCACCGTATGTCAGTGGTGTCTAAATAATCATAAAACCCCTACCACTTAAATACCAGTAATAAAAAGTGTACATATGTACATTTGTAACAATTTTCTCCATAGGCGACACATATTGCTTACGAGTACCATAAGGTTCCATTAAATTTGCCAACACAAGTAAAAAAATCGTTTTAAAATACCTTTGATTGTAATATCCATTGTGCCTGCATGTTCCAATGATCCTTGTTTTTCTCGTCAAATACTGGAGTTTCTGAGTCACCTGAAGAAAAAAAACAGCAAATATTATGTTATCTTTCATCATTCAGTGACATATAGTCTAAAATAATTTGTTAAGTTGTGTATCTAGGTCATGGAAGGTCCTAACATCTTCCCTTAGCTTCAAATTCCACTATACTTATACCATTAGGGGTTTTTAAGAATAAGTAACACTATATGTGTAGTTAAAGTTAAATAAGGGTTTATGATAGATCGAAAAATGAAATAGGACGAAATGTATTAACATGTTTTTTACTGCGATAAATAGGAGAACGAAACGTACTACAAATTTCTAATAAAAAATTTGTTAATTCTCTTTTGCATCTTAAATAGAATATAATAGTGATATTTGCAATGAATGAAGGTATTGAGATAAGCTGTTACAAATTGTTGAGAATTTTATATTAATTCTATTTTTATGTCTTGCGGATATAAAACCATAGAGTAGATCTATGGAAAGTTGAGACAGAGTACATAAAAAGAATACATCCGTGGGCCCATGAAAGTATTAGGCCCACATTCTGCTTCCATAAATCAGCTTCGTTTAAGCTACAATAACTTATGAAAAAATAATGATAATCTGCAAAAAGTTCCAACTTGGTTTTGTACTACAAGTGGCAAATCATACATGTACACTAAGAACAGGAAAGGACCCAATATTGAATCTTGAGGAAGACCTATTTTTATTTGAGACCCTTTTGAGTTAACACCTCTTAAGCAAATATTAAGCTGCCTGTCCTCTAATATGAAATAAAATTACTTCAATAAAATTAGGTCTGAATTAGTTGCTAACGAAAAAAAACGAGAAAATAAACAATGCCAAATTATGTAAACAATGTGGGTCCGATCTTTGCCCTCTTAAAGACCGATTATTTGGGTCATTGTCTCCGCTATTACGGTCTATGAATATAATTGACCCATTTTTACTTAAATAAGCAAGCTGTTGAGATTGGTTCCGACGTTCGATGCACGCAGCTTGATTTTATATAGAGTGCAAATTAATTTATTCATTATTCAGCTTTGAAATTTAAATAATTGCGCGTAGGTAAATATTATTATTATGACCTTAAGTTGCTAGAAAGGGGTAGAATAAACTTACATATGATACTAGCATCCCCTATTACAATCTGTTAAGAGCATTTTCGTGTCACGAGTTATCACTTAAATGTTCAACTTAAAATTTATTGAAACTGTGGAAGACCCTTGTTTACCTTATGAATGGACTGGCTCGATCGCAGAGATCCCATACAGAAAACTTGCGTCGTGATTTTGCCGTATGAATTAGGTTACCGGAGGCCTATACCTTTTTTCCCATCTCATTTCTGCCAATCCTCAAATCTGTAACCCCCTAAAGATACTCGAAAGACCAATGCACTTGAGGTCCCACTGGTGTTACAGGTGTCTATGCGCAGGATCGATTGCGTACCACCTGGTGTTCAAAACGACAGCGTTTCCTTTTCGCCCTATGCTAGAAAAAGAAAACTTCGGTACCGTTGACAATTAAAGTTAGCACATACACCAAGATATTAATAACGAACGTTTTCAAAAACAATGTGTCACAGACAGAGAGAGAAGGATTTTTTATCCATGCCAACTTAAAACCACGCGTCATTGTTCATATATGGTAAGATGAATGTTTCAGAAAAAAGTAGGTACTAGATATTCATTTGATGAATAATGATTTGCCTAGCAAGCTGTAGATATTTCCTAAACGCGTGCATTTAGTTGGGGTCACCAAAGTAAAGAAGACACCGAATGATATCATTTTATTTATGTATTCGTACCTGGACTATCAAAGCCTACGTCACAATTGGTATGTAACTGAATCAGACTATGATAATTACGTTTAAGTGGACTAGTGTTTAAAATTATCGTTTACCTTATTTGGTTTTTCCGTTTCTTAATGGGTAATTCAATGGAATTATTTGTTACTATTTTTAACCGACTTCAAAAAAAGGAGGAGGTTCTCAATTCGATTGTATTTTTTTTTTTTTTTTTTTTTTATTTTTTTTTTTATGTTTGTTACCTCAGAACTCCGTCGTTTATGGGCGGATTTGCAAAATTTTTTTTATGATTGAAAGGATATGCTTCCAGATTGGTCCCATTCTTTTCAAAATCAAGTTTTGATGATGGGATCCATGAGAAATCGAGGGAACTCCTCAAATATTATAGGCAACTATATAGTAATTTTAATATTTTCATAGAGCACTCAAGCATTTACAGTCAAAAAGTAATGTTTGATGAGGTGGAACTGGTGAAGAAGATCAGAAATGGATGATGAAACTTGACACTCGCATAGATATCACAATCAAGGTAGTTCAGCAACTATGAAAATGCACTGTAAACCAATGATCTTAAATAATTATGTTGGAAATGTTATCATCGAACTGATTTAATGATGATTATGGAGCTGGAAGGTAGGCACTGGAACTGCGTACCTAATTAATATATCCTAGCCGTGTTTGGGCTTGTTAGAATTGTTATAAGATGCACTTTGGCTGTAAGGTACTATTGAACTGATGTGATGATGAAGCTGGAAGGTTGGCATGGGGCCTAGTATTGTGTAAGCTTATTAGAGCTGTCAAGAGCAATGGAAAGGGCTATGCTCATAGTTTCCGTGCATGTTCGAATCAGAAATGAAGAAATCCGCAGAAGAACCAGCGTCACCGACATAGCCCGAAGAAATGCCAAACTTAAGTGACAGTGGGCACGGCACATTGCTCGTAGAACAGATGGCCGATGGGGCCGAAAGGTTCTAGAGCGGGACCGCACACCTTTGGGGGCGGAGTTTGGCCTAGTATTGGCTATTTTGCATTAGTCCACGTGGACTGCGTTTACACATTAGTGGTGAAATGCGTCATTGTGTTCTTATCGTTTTCCTGGTAATAGGCTAAGAGAATTAATTGGCATTTTTAACAAAACAGTCGTTTTAAATGGGTTACAAAACAATAATTGCGTCGTACAAAACAATAATTGTGTTTCTTTTGTGTGCACATATGTAGAATACTTACTTAAAAAAGGTTCATACATTGAATGAGTCATAAATGTATATTTACAATAGCGATGGTCTTTTATTTTTACCAACTTGTCTATATATGAATGTTCTTAGTAATAACAAAATAGTATTCTTCATTTAATGGGTTACAATTGATACAAAACAATAATTGCATCGGTCTTTTTTCTATGTACGAATGTATTTAATCATAGATACTAAATTAGATTGCATTTGGTATCTTTGAACTTTATCTGTCTGTTGATGAAAATATCTAGTTTTTTGTTATTTGGCGAGAACTAATATGAATTTATGATAAGATTATTATTTTATTTTAACTATAAGTCATAAGTATCTCATGCATCATATCATCTCTCCTCGAGATCAAAACGATTACACAGTAACAATGTACTATGATATGTATTTCTACGTATAAGTATGACATTGGTAACTTTTTCAAAAGAAATGTAGGAACGATATTGACTTCTTTGCCATAACACATTATAATAAAAAAAAAAAACACTAAACGGCTACAAATAAAAAAAAATTTTACAAAATAAAAAAACCGCCTTCAAAAAAAGTCAAGCAATAAAAGTTCCTACACTAAAAAGTAAAAAATAACAATTTGAATTACTGTAAAAAAACTTAATTTATAGGTAAACTTATTTGACATTAATATTTTGCAAATATTCAAAATTTATTACTTATTTTTGGAGTCGGTGCCAGCCCATGCAAGGAAATACAAATGGGCAACAATCCCTTGAAAAACTACCTCTTACTTAATTATAAAACTACTTAATACCTATTTGCATACTCAAATATAGGTATATTAATTAAGACATAAATACAGATTAGACTTCTCTACAAAAAATGTCCGATTTGCACATTTTTTTAAATAAAAAATATGTACTTACAAAAACATTTTAAGTACATTGAAAATGTTTAAGCATTATGTACGAAAAATGGCACCGGATATTAAAAACCTAACTAACATTAAGTTTCAACATCAAAATGCTGGCACCGACTCCAAAAATAAGTAATAAATTTTGAATATTTGCAAAATATTAATGTCAAATAAGTTTACCTATAAATTAAGTTTTTTTACAGTAATTCAAATTGTTATTTTTTACTTTTTAGTGTAGGAACTTTTATTGCTTGACTTTTTTTGAAGGCGGTTTTTTTATTTTGTAAAATTTTTTTTTTTATTTATACGACTGTATACATCATTATGCGCTAGTCCTTATTAAGATATAACGTTGTTATTAAAAAAATTAAGTGAAACTAAAAAACAGGTTATTATTAAATGGCTTCGTAAGTCCTAGGAGTAAACACCCTAAAAACTTCATTCGTAATCATAAAATAATCTTTGCTTTTCATTTGTGGTCATGGAAACTAAATGTGTATTGTGTAAACACAATTTCAGCTTAAGCAATGAAGATATCTTCAGAATACAAATTAAATAAAAGGTAAAAAAAAAATTTAGTAACAATTTTCGAATCGAAGATGTCATTCTGTCCTTAATTTGTATCAAAAAAAGGAATTGTCATTACGGATCTAAAATAAAGCAAAATCTTTCTCGCGGCCTTTCCCCAAGGCTAGAATTTGACTCCAATACTTAGGTATGCCAGTATTTTTCAATTGTTATTTATGTCTGCTCAACCTAAAAGACACTGAATTGTAAAAGTGATGACTCAGTACCTAATTGTTTTCATCCGCTTTTAAATGTTTTCGTACACAAAACCCTTAAGCCACTTTTTACTGATAAACGAAGTTAATAATATAATCAGGAGGAGTTAATCACCAGCATCATTAAAGTAGGTACAGACCACTGGTTTTAGGTTTGTACTGGAAAAACCAAATCGTGGGCACGCGCCACGCTGGCCCAGTAATTGAGACGATGATGTCACAATGCGTTGAGATCGAACCTGTCGCTTGAATAGTAATAAACAAATTTTACAATTCTGATGAAAATCTTGCAATAGTTTAGAAAGACTTAGGCCGTCATGATCCATTTTTGATGATAATGTTAACCTACAGATTATTTGGAAAGTTTACTTAGCACTTGTTTCCTTAGTTAAATATAGACTTAATTTTAGTTCCCGATAAACTAATACATTTTCTGGATATGAGCATAATCTTATTGCCTTAAAAACTACCCCGTTCCATCTATGCTCCTGGACGAGGCCGTAGTACATTAACTCAACCCCGGCCAACCTTACACATAGTTAACACTTATAGGCTGGTGATAATGAAAATGATGAAAAGGTACTGTGAAATATCTAGACTTCTATACTAATATTATAAAGAGGTACCATTTGTTAGTTTGTATGTAGGGGTAATCTTTGGAACCGCGCAGGTCGGATTGCCAAAATTCTTTATATAACGCTATAACGATCACGCTACGATCAAATGGACCCGAGCAGAGGATGAAGTTAAAAACTTCATTCGAAATCATAAAATAATCTTTGCTTATCATTTGTGGTCCTGAAAATGTCTATTAAACACAATTTCAGCTTAAACAGTTGAGGATATCTTCATACTTGTTAACATATATACATTGCAAATTAAATAAAAGGTCTAAAAAAATGTTAGTAAACGATTTTAAATATCGAAGATGTCATTCTGTCCTTTATTTGTATTAAAAAATGAATCGTCACCACGGATCTAAAATAAAGCAAAATCTTCCTCGCGACCTTTTCCCAAGGCTAGAATCTGACTCCAATACTTAGGTATGCCAGTATTTTTCAATTGTTATTTATGTCTGCTCAACCTAAAAAACACTAATTTCTTGAAATGATGACTCAGTACCTAATTTTTTTGATTCGCTTTTAAATTTATTTTATATTTACATTTTTTGGTACCTAATAAATAAGCTATAGGCACCAACTATCTGTAACTCCCCTGGTGTAATGCGGATGTGCCTGAAAGAGCCGATAGACCACCACAGATGGGGCCCATGGCCAATGCTTAGCCGGGGTCGGCATTAAGGTATCGTGGCCTGGGCCTAGAGCAAGGGAAGGAACGGGGGTTATTAGTTAGCAAGAGTCTGACACGCCCTCTCGCCATAACTTTGGCGAGAGAAGTGATTCAACGATTTTCCCTCCACAAAAAAAGTATAGCGCATGTCTAGCCGCAATCCAAAAGGATTCACAAGATCATTGCTGGCCCTTTCGAGTTTAGGAATTTAAGGATGTCGAATTTGGGGATTAGGAATGAGGTGGAAGTTACCGAGTTTCGTACTTATTATTATTTACACTGAAATCTTAAATTTAGGCCTCGATATGGAGCTTTATAGGCAGACCTAGAGTTATATTTTGTTATTAAACCTATGTCAATATCAACTCTAAATCAAAGACTTGTATAAAATATATGATTTCACAGTACCTTTTCATAATTCTCATTATTACCAGACTATAAGTGTGAACCATGTTATATGGTTGGCCGGTGTTGAGTTAATGTACTGCGGCCTCGTCCAAGAGCACAGATGGAATGGGTAAGTTTTTAAGGCAATAAGAATATGCTCATATCTTCATGACCTTGCCCCGATAAAAGAAATTGTATAAGTTTATCGGGAACTAAAATAAAGTAAATATTAAATTAAAGTGATGAAACAAGCGCTAAGTAAACTTTCCAAACTCCAAACATCTGCAGTTCAATGGGATCATCAAAACGGATAATTATGACCTAAGTCTTTCTAAACTATTGCAAGATTTTCATCAGAATTGTAAAATTTTGTTATTTAAGCGACATTCTCGATCTCAACGCATTGTGACATCATCGTCTCAAGTACTGGGTCAGCGTGGCGCGTGCCCACGAATCGGTTTTTCCAGTACGAACCTAAAACCGGACCGGAGGCTGTACCTACATCAATATTGCTAGTGATTAATTGTCAATGTATTAAAACTCCTACTAATTATTTCATTAACTTCATTTATCAGTAAAAAGTGGCTTAAGGGTTTTGTACCTAAAAGGGAAAACGGGTACTTTATTATTAAAAGTCTGCCGACTGTCTGTCAGTAGGTTGTATATCATGAATTGAGATATCTAGGCAGTTTAAATTTGGATATGATGGTTTCCTGTCGCCACGGTGACTGCAAAAAAAGCCACATCGCTCGAAGGACGACGTGACGTGACGGGTGTGGGAATCTTGCTTCGGCATGTATAAGTCAGCTCGACCAAAATGATACCACGGCCTCACAGAATACCGGCGTGAAACAAAGATAGAGTTGTATTCCGCGGTAAGAGTGAGGACACTACAGGCCTCATCCTGCTGCCCTTCCCCCAACCCCTATCAAACGCTATTACCATAATTATTGATGCCCAGTAAAATTACCATTAGTAAAAACTTTTAAGAATGAAAAATAAATAAAAAACAACACCAGCATTTAATAACAGAACACACAATTACAATCTATTTTAATGAATAAATTGAATTCCTATGCCCCGACGGAATCATTGAAAATAATCGTCCGTGGCTCTCGGGAAAAATTGGCCAATAGGTACCTAAAGTCTACATTGAACCAACAAGTGTGACTAATCTAAGACTAGGTACTGGTGTGCAAAACACATGACCTCTTGTAAAATGAACATGAGTCGAGTATTTACCGATATTTAGTGAAACGTACGTGTAATTTTTAATAACAACAAAATATCACTGCTCTTGTTGTAGTTCCGTTATTAATTTAGGACCGATTTTTCAATAGTCAGATAAATGTTATCTGGGGAATAAAATTGTTGCTGTCACTGTCTTATACAAACATTCTGACGCGACAGCAACATAATTATTCCCCGGGTAACTTTTATCGAACTATTGAAAAATCGGCTCTTAAAATACTAGGTTCAAAAAGTGTTTTGATTTCTTCTAGCTCTGTTGCCTCTGTGAGTGGAGAGATTGTTATTGAAACTGAGTTTCTATTAAAATCTTAGGTTAGGTAATGTTTAGTCTGAGAATCTCAAAGGAAAAGTGTCCACAATCAACAGCTACAAAAATTTTACTGCGATATATGTATAGTATATGAAATACATTTATTTGAAATAAAAAAAACCACAGTATCATAACATATTATGAAAGCAAGTCGCGTTTTCTTTCCCTATATTCCGATGTATGCTTAAATATCTACGGGTTTTTAATAGATATAGGTAATTGTTGAAGAGAATTATGTATAATAACATCGATTAAATAGTAGCGAAATTATGTATCAGCATTTATTTGTTTATTTATTTTAGGCTTCTCAACAATGAGTACACTATACTATATAAATTGTACATTTCAAATTTAATTCTAAGTGCCCCATTACTTATAGAGAAGCACAGCATGCACTATAATATTATGCGACGTTATTAAAATAATTAATCAATAATTAACAAATAATGCAATAAAAAAGTTAAATTGAAGCATTGCACCCGTGCGAGGTCAGGACGGGTCACTAATCTAATAAAGCTTATAAAGGGATTCCATTCTTTAAACATCCCAATCTTGAATCTCCCGTTGAAGAGTGGTCTATCACACAAGGAAAATATAGTATACAAACGTTACTAAGCAAGTCATTGCCGAATGTGTGCAAAACCGCATAAAGAGCACGTCACAGAACAATTCATTGAATAAAGTCACACGTTCCATTCCGTTGTTACAATTACGTTTCATTACACGTAATCATAAACGTGTGCACTAACTTTAATTTTTAAATGACAGTTCGATTATTTTATGTTTTTATCCGAGATAATCGCTGACCAAGAAAGGATTTGAATGTGTTTATTTTCTTTTAAACTTTCAATTGTGGTAATTTAATACACAGCAATAGCAGCAGCAATAGAATACAGCTGCGCGTACGCCGGCGTTCTTTTGGGATTTGGTGTATTAAATCGCAGATCTGTAAAATATTTTTTTTCATGTTGTAGGTGATTTTACCAACACACACTTCTTTTAGATACCACGATTTTTGTCTACCTATTAAAGTTGAAAATCCTTATTGTAATCTCATCATTGTTACCTAGTTAAAAATACCTATCAGCTTTTATCAGCTAATAGCAAAATAATAGAAGTTACAATTTTAAATATGTATGTTATGTAAATCATTAAACGTAAAACCACAGAGTGCATTGAACTTTCTGCGTAACACGATGAAAGCAGCTTGTCACCATATCAACTTTGTTAAATCAGCACCAACCTAAAAGTACTCACTGCTGAGTAAAAGACATGGGCATGCAGATGACAAGCAAGAATAGCTCGTCGCCCGACCAGAACCAGACCTGAGCGTACGCGGCGTAGTGTTCCGCGCGCCTCAAAGAGCCAATCGACCACCACAGACGGGGCCCCATAGGGCTGATGTTCAGCTGGAGTTGCGGGGTAAGCGCCATGAGGCACCGCGACCTCGGCCCAGAGCAGGAGTAGGATCGGGGAGGGGGGCGCCCTACCCTGGGCGGGAAAAATATTTTTAATGATTTTCCCCACACAAAAAAAAGACTACTACAGACCTAACAGGGATGATGTTCAGCTAGAGTTGTGGGGCAAGCGCAATAAGGTACCTAGACCGGCCTCGCCGTAAAGCAGGATAAGGAACAGGGTGGGTTTTGGTCAGTAAGAGTATGACACTCCTAATTACCTTATCCTGGGCAAGAGAAGTCATTTGATGATTTAATTATGTAAAAACTTGTAATTTTTTCGTAACTAAATCATCTCGTGCTCGCTGCTAAGCAAAAGCCTTTTGAATCAATCGAAAAAGGTTCGAGCATTAATCACCACGCTTGCTCAAGGCGATTCAAATTTATATTCGAACTTTTGAGTCCAATTTTCATCACGATGTTTTCTTTCGTCAGTGGTGTCATAATAAATTTAGAAATAACATGTAACTTGGAAAATGTCACATTGGTACAAGTATTTACATGTGTATCTATGTCTGACCTGTGCCTCATGTATGAGAAGCGAGTGCTTAAAATAGTGAGCTCCAGGTCATCCCGTCTGTTATTTATTACATATGTAAACATAGTTAATAATTATTTATTAAACTTCAAAAAAAATGGTTCTCCGGTAACCTCACTTACATGGCGAAACATAACGTAAGTATTGCTTCACGCACGCTTTCTGTGACGCCGTGGTATCATTCCGGTCGAGCTGGCCGATTCTGCCGAAGCATAGCTCTCCCACACTACTACAATGAAGTAGTAGTAACAGTACCTACTTATTTTAAATTAATATAACGTTACTTTGACAAGAGCGGCGGTATTTTGTGGTTATTCATATTACACGTAGGTAAATACAAAATTTGATTGTCATTGTGTGCTCATTGATGTAACACTAAATATCGGGAAATACTCGACTCGTGCTTATTTTACAAGAAGTCATGTGTTTTTGCACACCATTACCTAGTCTCGGATTAGTCACACTTAAATCAATATAGACATTAAGTATCTCATCATTACCCAAACGTACGGTAGCGTTACGCGCGCGTCTCAAATAGTCAATAGACCACCACAGATGGGGCCCTTAGGGCTGATGTCCAGCCGGGTTTGCAGGGCAATAAGGCATCGCGGCCTCGAGAAGGAACGGGGGGTTTAGTCTCTAAATTCCAATGGATTGGGTGATATGATCGCTGCTAGGCTGTCAGTGTCCGTAAACTTTTCTTTCATATGTACTATTGTAATTTATAATTTTAGATATTCAGCAATTAGTGTGATTGGATGTGCTTATTATAATCTTGTACGGAAATCGTACGTTGATGAATCCGATGATATGTGTTGCGGCATTTCAACAATGCACTTTGCACCAGTTCCCCATAGCTGTAGTCCTAAACCTGACGATTGAGATTGCTCGACCACCCTGAGTCCCTAAGCCCTTAAGTCGAAGCATGGTTCTCCCACACTTTTCGTTCTTTTTTTATGTGATAGGACGGCAAACAAGCAGACGGATAACCTGATGGTAAGGAATCAGCGCCGCCCATGGACACCCGCAGCAAAGAAGGAGTTACGAGTGCGTTGCCGACCTTTTAAGGATTGGGATTTTGGGGATTTAGGGATTGGGAAGGGATTGGAGTAGGGGAAGGATTGGGCCTCCGATAACCTCACTCACACGGCGAAACACAACGTTGTGGTTGTTTCACGCCGGTTTTGTGTGAGGCCGTGGTATCACTCCGGTCGAGCCGACCCATTCGTGCCGAAGCATGGCTCTCCCACATTTAGCATGAGAAATGAAGCCTTTCTTGTTGTCATCGTGGGTTAAACAAAACACCATCATGATATCAAAATTTCAACTTTCTAAATACCATAATAAAAAAATATGATATACCTAAAGCCATAGATGGACAGACAGAATAGTTATAGCATTTGGGTTCTCGTTTTCCCCTTCAGCTACGACTAGCTCTCGCCTACGACTTCGCATGACCACTCAACTAAAATACACAAATTAAGTAGGTATAATTTATAGCCTGTAGAACTCAGGAACGTTGTAGCTATCTATCAGTGAAAGGCATTTGGAAATCCAACCAGCGGTTTCAAAGATAACCGCCTACATACAGACTTACAAATTTTACCTTTTAGATACACTTAATACTATGTTTTCATATTCAAATTAAGTTAATGATATGATAAGTAGGTATTTTAATACATTGACAATTATCACCAGCAATATTGATGCAGGTACCGCCATCCGGTTTTAGGTTCGTACTGGAAAAACCGATTCGTGGGCACGCGCCACGCTGACCCAGTAATTGAGACGATGATGTCAATGCGTTGGAATCGAGCCTGTCGCTAAACACTATAACAAAATTGTTCAATTCTGATGAAAACCTTGTGAAAGACTTTGGTTTTTTCTGCTACTATTTTAACTATAGATGTTTTAGCGCTTGTTTCATCACATTTATTATATAACTTTGCAATAAACTTACACATTTTATGGTGAGGGAAAATGACTTCTCTGAGTTTCTGACGTTGTGACTCTTATTGACTAAAAACTACCTCGTACCTATTCCTGGTCTGAGCCGAGGTGGTACCTACATTATAACAATCGATCCTCAACCTAGGTTAAACTTACACATATTACATACGAATAACGTTCCATTTTCAAATACATTGATTGAGATAGGTACAACAGAATTCCGTGGGTTTGCGATTTTAAATAAAAAAAACATTCAAATCCTTTCTTTGTCTGTGGTTTTCTCGGATAAAAACATAAAAAATCGAACTGTCATTTAAAAATTAAAGTTAGTGCACTCGTTTATGATGACGTGTAATGAAACGTAATTGTTACAACGGAATGGAACGTGTGACTTTATTCAATGAATTGTCCTGTAACGTGCTCTTTATGCGGTTTTGCACACATTCGGCAATGATTTGCTTAGTAACGTTTGCAGACTTTATTTTCCTTGTGTGATAAACCCATCTTCAACGAGAGATTCAAGATTGGGAAAATTCAGGATGCAACACCGTTTTTATGGCATTGGTCGACAAATGGAATACCTGATGGTAAGTAATCGGCGCTGCCCATGAACACTCACAATACCAAAAAAGTATCTACAAGTGCGTTGCCGGCGTCCATCATTTTAAAAAGAAGCCTTAACGAACCAAAAGACCTTCACAGACGGACACTTATAGGGCTGTTAAGCCGGGGTCGCAGGGTAAGCGCAAATAGGCACCGCGGCCTCGGCCTAGAGCTGGAAAAGGAACGAGGGGCTTTTTAGTCAGTAAGAGTCTGACGCTTCCTCTCGCCTAACCCTGGGTGGGAATAGTCAAGCGATGATTTTACGAAATACTGTTTTAGAGAAATCATACGATCACTACTTAACCTCAATAATAAATAATTTAAGTAGGTAAGAAGTATTCCCTAACAAGTGACATATTGAACGTTGTGACGTCACTGAATCATTGCATCCTCATCAACAAGTAAAATGTAATGAATAACTTCATAATTAATTGTTCAGTAAACGTCACACTTGATGCGGTTTTGTACAAATTCAGTTATAAATTGCTTAGTAACGCCTGTAGAATATTGTTTTCCTTGTGCAGCGGCCATGCACGAATCACTTCACGAATGGATAGGCTCAATTTGACCAATACCACAGCCTTATAGGAAACTAGATAGAATTAATAACGCTTTTATTGAGGCGGAAGTATTAACAAAGGCTTCCCCCACCCGAGGTGGGGTGAGAGAGAGTGTCAGAATCTTACTGACTAAAAACCACCCTGTTTAGTCTCTTGCTCCAGGCTGAGGACGCAGTTGATTATTGTTTTTTAACAACAATTGGGAAGTTTTTTAGGTCAAAAATAAATAAATTCGACGTTTCAATACACTAAAATTTTGAAAAATTATTATACTTTACTTTTATTCATCGATCGATTGATACACAAAATTTTAGATATTTTTTAGCTATTTTTTAAGAAATAAGTAAGCTATTTGACATAAAAGTACTATGACGTCATAACTCAGTATTTCATATAAATTTCATATAAAAGTGTAGTATTTGATAAAAGTATTGAATTTGACTAGTTGGAAACTACCGCATTACGGCTGCATATTAACCTTATAACAATGAGGTAACAAGAGACCCAATAAGAATACCGTATCAATTTTTAAATGAATTTTCTATGACACTGCACGCTGTCACATTATATTTTTACGTGACACTTATTTCTCGTGAATTATCTAAAACATACAAATATTAAGTACCTATATCGTAAAATTAATAAAATAATAAACTTGTGAGAAGCTTATCATATACTTATGACATACAAATATGAAGTACCTATATCGTAAAATCAATAAATAAACTTGTGACTTTTTTTTAATTTAATTTAATTTTTGACCACCACGACCTCACACTCATCTTCACCTTGGTAGGAATCTTAAATCCCTAATAACAAACGAAAAGCCGGCAACACACTCGTAATTAGTAACATTTTTGGTATTACGAGAGCACACATTCTTAATTACCTTTAGTTAATCCATCTGCTCATTAACCGACCTATTCCATAAAAAAGGAAAAACTACCCAATCCTTCCTCCATCTTCAATCAATGGCATGACTATAGACACGAGTTAATTCAATATCATGTCACGTGTCAAAATATTTTAATTCATTAAATCATACTATAACCAATGTTTCCAAAACAATTCAATTGAATCAGTGACTTTGGTTGTTTGGACAGATCATTTCATACAAGTGTACGACTACTGGTCCAATTGAAATCAGATTCAAGGCATTTTTAACAATAATTTCTTTAATATAAACTTTTTAAGTGCCAAAATGGATTATCATAAACTGAACACAATAAAATACCAAAAGCCATGCTTCGTCTTCTATTTATTTTATCATACACTAGCTACATTCGCGCGGTTTCATTCGCTGCTCGGCCCGATTTTATCGTAGCGTGATGTTTTATAGCCTATAGCACTCAGGAACATTGTAGCTATCTATCAGTAAAAGAATTTTGGCAATCCGACCAGCGAGCGGTTCCAAAGATTACCCCATACATACAAACTTACAAATTTTACCTCTTTATAATATTAGTATAGATTTTAACCAATTACTTTTAATTCAATTTAACTTAATTGAACCGACCATAACTTCTTCGTGTGATTCATGACAATGAAAGTCAAGTTTTCAAATATTTGAGTGCAGCAAAAAAAAAAACAAGCC